TAAAACAATTAAATACCCAGGAGAGAGGAGACTTCATTTTAGTGTGCCAGCAGCCGCCGACTTAACCTGCACTCTCCGCCGGGTTAGAGTATGGTGTCAAATCACTCCAGCTGATGGTAGTAGTCATTAATATCCCTCTCTGTTCAGGTATATCCAAGAATAAATTAAACAGAGGCAGCAACACAGGGTTTGAAAGCGCAGGAAGGGCCTGTGAGAGGGGTGACCCAGCTGGTGACTCAGCAGGACTTTCCCTGCCTCTTCCCCTGCAAGGGAGGGCAGGAAATTTCAAAAGAATGTGTTCACACCAAACACAGCTCTGAGTTACGATTTAAAGCAAAGTCACATGCCCGCAGTAAGGCCAGCAGAGTCAGCCTGGCAGTGAACCGGTAACACACACAAAATGAATTCCTTCTCCACGAGAAGCTGGACACCGCACCCCAGCATCCTTCAACACTGTTGGCACCCACCATTGAGCTCCACCATTTTGTCAAGCACAGAGGCTATACCATAACTGTTTGTCATTAACTATTCCTGTGTTTGACTATAAATAACACAGCTCACATTTGAGGAACATGATTAATGAACAGGACTCAAAACTTCAACCCACACAGTAGCTGTGGGTAAATACGAAGTTCTGTGTGACAACACACCCAGGAGAGCCTATTCTTGGCAGAGAAAACTCCTACACTTGCTCTATCACTCATGAAATTCTCTGAAAATAACGATACGTAAGAGCAACTGCATAACATTAGACTAGAGGCCTGTCTAACCTGATATCCCCTCTCTGATAGTCTGTGGAAGAGCACAAGGACCAGGCACGCACACAGTAGATGCACCCCAGTAGCACACTCTCAGCCACAGAGCTGCTGAGCCAAACATGAGGCCTTCATGTTTATCAAATGATGACGCATTTTTCTGCACAACCTCTCACAGATCAGCATCTTAACATGCAGTTCTGAGCTCACCACTGCTAATTTGCCCAATACCTTTAAAGAATTCAAGGAGACAAAACCAGGTGACAAACATCCCTTGTTTCACATTCACCTTCTTCATGCACCCATGTCACTCACAATTTTAGAGGCTTTCACCATCTCCCTCCTTCCTTTTCCCCCTAAATCACCCCCCTCTGAGCTTTTTCAAGCACTGCTGTATTCTCTGAGGCCTGAGGAAGGGACCCAGAGCCACGCAGCACTTGCCACATTGGCATACCACGCACACACGTAGCAATGTGGTAACTGTCTTTCTTACTACTTCCACAACAATTCCTACCGTTTTATCTCTTCGACGGTCATAGCAGTTTCAGATAGCCATCTAACAGCGAGACCCTGTTCCTAAGGAGAGGTGTTTGCCTGCCATGTCACTGCCCAGGCACCACAGAGTCATTTAGGTACAAAAGGACCTTTAAGATCATCGAGTCCCTCACCCGTCAACCCAGCACTGCCAAGCCCACCACTAAATCATGTCCCCAAGTGCCATGTCTACACGTCTTTTAAACTCACCCCGGGATAGTGACTCCACTGCTTCCCTGGGCAGCCTGTTCCAGTGCTTGACAACCCTTTCGGTGCAGGAATTTTTCCTAATACCCAATCTAAACCTCCCCTGGCCGTGCCTTGACTCACACAGCTTATAGTCAAGCAATTGACATTCCTGTTGTGTTTCTAATTACTCAGTTTCATTATTGTTAGGCTCTTCACTACATCTGCACTTGGCACTCAGCTTTGAGCATGTTAACAGGAGCAGCAAACTTTACCATCTGACTTTTCACTCTTTTCCAGTCATTTAAGAGTATTTTGGAGAGCACAAGCTCACAAACCCAACACAGGTGCTTCTGCTGTGAAAACAAGCAAGCTACTCCTATCCTCTGCTTCGCACCCTGGCTGATTACCTGGCGACAGCAGAACCCACCTTCCCACCCCATGGCCACCAAGCTCTTCCAAAAGCCTTTGGTGAAGAATGTTTCAAAAAAAGGGCTCGAAAAACCAACCACACTGACGGACTGGCCCAACACTGTGATGGTTCTTATGAATCCACCAAACTCCACTGAAGTTCGCAACTCACTGCTAACAAGGTCCAAATAATCATGTCTAGTTTTCAGCTATTAATCTAAACCAGCTGAATTGTCAATCACCAGCTCTATCTCCCAGCCAAAGTAATTGGCAGTTTTGCACACAAAAAAAAAGAAATAACAAGCCGCAGAATCGACATGGCAATTTTTCAAGTCAAAAGCAAAAGAACTTCACTTTCCTTCCAACATATCTATAAAACAAAACAGTAATTTGGTTAACCACAAGTATTAAAGCCTTCCCATGATAAGGCTGGCTTCAAATCACTGAAAAATAATTACTAAGATGGCTTCTGTTGATTTAAAAGTATATAGTGATTTCCATTCCACTGACTAAATTCATTTTGTTGATTCATTTCACTCAAATAAAAACAAACCAGTCATTTAAGTAACTGTTCTTCAGCAAACAGTTCTCTGCCAACTGACATGAAGGGAAAACCACGACACAGACAGGAGAGCTACAAATTCTGTGTTCAGCCTTAAGAGCAGGGGTTTTGCACATCTGCATTTTCCCTAGGGGGTGGGGAGGAGTTGAGTTTTCGTTGACTTGAACAATATTTATTTCATCCAAACAGTTTTCAAGGGGGAAATGCCTGCCTGTCAAGAGTTTCATTACTGCAGTCAGGTCTCAAACTAATTACTTAATGGGAAGGTGTGTTAATAACTTTTACCAAATAAAAACTTAACAGAAGTAGGCTAACAGCAAAGTTACTTGGCTAGCTACAACTGTTTGAGAATTACTGATTTTAATCAAATAACTTACCATGTGGTTTTCCTCTAATTATTTAGTTTCAGCACTTACCTTTGTTCAAGCAATTCATCTGCTGTTCAGAACCCTGTAATGGGTTGCACAGCTCATTTAAGGGTTGAGCTGTCTGCATTTTACCTCTTCACTGATTAAAGGGAAATGAATGTCCTAAGAACGTTTAATATGTCTGTTCATTCCACAAGCATAACCTTCTCCTCCCAAACCACTTCTTGCTGACAGAAAAAGGTTTACTGGATGGTCAGATGAAAACAAGGAATTAATGCCGGTGAAGAACACCACAGCTGTGGGCACAGCCAGTCTCAACTCTTCCCACACCCTCCAGTTGTGAAAGATCCCAGCGACACTAGGTTTTGTTCCTTTACCATCTGAGAAGTCTTACATTGCCATTTCTACAATTTTGTTTCAGGTTTTTTCTGCTAGACATGTCAGCTCTCACCTTCAGGGTAAAAAAAAAAACAAAACACCCACATCTTGTGCTTCTTTTTCTGATCCCCACTCCTTCTGTACTGATTTCTTCATGCTGTCATAACCCCCTTTCCAAATATCTGCTCATTCTCCTGGGGTTTTTTTGTACAGTCTTGAGTCCTGTCCTTTTTCATCCTGCTTACCCGCACAGTCGGTAAGACAAGAGGCACCGTCAAGAGCTGCTCTCTCAAGGAGGAACACACAACCCCACGTGCATGCGAGCCCTGTAACAGAAGTTGTTCTCCAAACAAAGACTGTGCGTGGAGGTGGGGGGAGAGGAAAGGCCAACACAGGTGTAAAATTTCACACCAATTTTGAGGCGGACAGGGGACAGAAAGACAGTCTTGAAGACATTCTTTCCCCCTTCAAGAGGGGAGCTTCCTCCTCCCTCCCAGACAGACAGCATCCTTCCCCTCGCTCAGCTTAGCCCCTGAACTCCCTCCCAGGGCTTCCCCACCCTGCGGCACCTCCAGTGCTCCCCCCTCCTCTCTTCCAGGGGGAACGTGGAAGCCTCTCCCAGCTGCTGAGCTGCTCCATCTACCACTCCTCGTCAGCTGCCTCTCCGCAGCGCCCACGTCTGATTCCCAGGCCCACCTCACGCTGTGCGGAGCGGCCGAGAGGAGCAGCCGGCAGGCAGCAGCGGACGGGACTGCGGAGCAGCTGCTTCCCACACGGGCCTGGGACACTGCTTAGGACAGCTGCGTTTATGATTTATTGAGCTTATTGTAGCATCGTATCATTACGACTGCATTCCAACAATTGTCTCCAAATATTTATGGGCAGAGCTACTTGGCATTAATTACTGACTGGTTCAAAAAAAAAAAAAAAATTAAACCTCTAATATCTTGACCATCTACTCATTCAGCACCAAAACCTCTTGAATGATGACTGATAGAGCCAGAGGCAAGCAATGGCAAACGCTAAGATCCCAAAAGGCCCTTTTTCAGCTGAAGCTTAACATACTAGCATGTAGTCAAACCTGCTAAGCTGCAGAGGATCAAGATGTTTTACCATTTTTAGCTTTTAATTGAAAAATGATGTGGAAGCAATACATTTTCATCAAAATCCAGCAGATCAGAGACTCAGTAAAATAAAACATCTATCCTATTCGAGATTTCATTTAAGCCTCACAAGATTTGATTTCAGACTATGATTCACATTTGCTGTCTTCTCCTGGCATAAACTCTTGCCCCACCACTTCTCAGCTGCATTACTTAGTGCTCAAGAAGTTCATCCTGGATTTTTTTTTCACATGTAAAAACTTCAGCTTTGACTTTAAATCCTAAGGGAATATTTTGTGGTTTTAAGGAAACCCTCGGTTTGGCCAAAACAAACGTATTATAACACACGCTTCTTTCTCCAAGTTGCAGGTACAAAAATGACAATTCTCACACGTGCTTTCCATTTTCCCCTCAAAGGAACCACCACAGGAAAAAAAAACGAAAGCAGGTATTCAGCTTGTCCTGTTGCTGTATCACATTTTGGCCTATCCATAATGTTATCCTGCAAAAATTACTGTAAGGATGTTAGCAAGCTACCTGCACCTCGTTTCACCTTCAGCTTCTGTGCACCCAGTGAGCCATACAGCCAGTAACAAACAGGAGAGTCAAACAGGAGCAATCATTTTGAAACTATAGAGCTTGTGTATCCTGAAACGCATTGACAATAACTTAAAACATCTTCTACTCATTGGAAGTAGCTTACCTGAAGGACAGGCACTTTTTGTGGTGTGTTTTGTGGTGACTGGTGAAGCTGTGCCCAAGGCTGATGATGAGGATGTGGGGGTGGTGAAGACTGATGATGTATCCCTGGATGAGGCTGCATGGGAGGACAGGTTGGCATTTGCTGTTGAAAAGACTGCTGTTGACTAGGAAGCTGCTGGCCAGATATTAGTCGCTCTTGTATTGCTTGTGGATCTGCAAGGCCAACACCTGGACAACCATTTGGTCTCATGTGCCCACCCATCTCCCGTGGTGTTGAAGACATACCCATAAACGGACGATTCTGCTGCATGTTTCGGGGGCCCATATTCCTTTGTCCAATTCCCATGGCACCAGGGGGCTGGTGTGACGGCTGAGGATGGGGAATATTTGGATAACTGCCAACTTCCATTGGTATTCCAGCGCTACCGGGTCTAACCTGCGGAGGAGGCGTACCCGCTGGATTACTCATTGCTTTCATAGGTGACATGGGAGGTGGAGAGGCATAAGTTCCCTGAGGCTGTGAAGGGTGCATAGTTTGCGTGTTCATTTGGTTAAGTGAGCCACTAGGGTGGATGGGTTGCTGGTGCATTAGTCCTTGACCACTGTTTGATGGAAATCCGACAGCGTTTGGGTATCTTGGTACAGACTGATTCATTGGAGTGTTATTTGTAAGGCCTAAATTCTGATTCATCCCTGTATTATTAACTAATCCCTGATTAAGGTTACTGTAAGGATATCGAGAGTACTGCCCTGAGTTGTTTATAGTAGGTGAGGGTACCGTCTGGCTCCGAGAACTAAAATTAAGTGTTTGCGGCCTAACAGCACCCTGCTGGGGAGGATTAGGGGAGAATCTGGGACTGTGGGCTACTGATTCTCCATGGAGAGCAGTGGGGGGATGGTGGTGAAATTGCTGGACTGAGTGTCGCAAAGAAGGTGCCATACTGGGATTCTGCTGGGGCACATGAGACAAGTGGCCAGGTCCTGAGGTGGCAATGAAAGGGTTTCCCTGATTGAGGCCTTCTTGGCCTTGAGAAAACTGGTTCATCCTCTGCTGCTGCGGCTGACCGTGCTGCTGCATTGAAAAATCGCCACGAGCCATGTAGTTTCCCATCTGCTGCATGTGCTGAGGATGGCCCTGCCCAGGGGGTCCAGAGGGTGCCTGGGGCGGCTGTGTGGGTTGCGGTTGCTGCTGCTGTTGCTGCTGGTACGGTGCTCTTATCTGGTCTGGCACTTGAACTGCCCGTGGTCCCCACATGGAGCCACTGTCTACGAAGGGTTGCCCGTGTCTTTCGTTCTGCATGCTGGGATAGACTCCCATCTGACCACCAGCGCCACTGCCATGAGGAACCTGAGGAACTGGAGGGTTGTGATACTGCGAATGAGGAGACGCTATACCATTCCCAGGGGCGTTGCTTATCATCCTGTTCGGCTGATCCATCAGGTGCATTTTCTGCTGTTCGTATTGATTATAGTGATCAAAATGGGTCAACTTGGCTTGATTTTGATTTGCAGGGGGATGATGAAGAGATGACTGTAGAGAGGGAAATCCTTGATCCATGGGCATTTGCTGCCCCATAGGATTTACTGTATTTTCAGGATAGCCACATTCTCCAAGACCTTCCAACCCTTCACTGAAAATATTCCCATCTTCTCCAAACAGACTCATCATTCCTGGATCTGCCATCTTTTTTCAGCACACAGCTCCTCAGAGCTACAACTAGAATGCTAGTCTGTGCTTCACCTCGGCGAGGTGTTTTGTCCTCAAAGCCTTTAATCCTCAACTAATCTCCTTCATGTCATTCCATATTTCCTTAATTCTTTTGGACCACGCAGTGTCAGGCAAAGTCTGGTTACTGCTCCTAGAAAAAGCGGGGGAAGGGGGAGAAAGAGAAGAAGATATTGAAATAAATAATGCCAGGCAATGTAAAGAAAACATACTTGACTGTTTTACTGTTTTTTAGACAATGCTAGCTACTTTCAGCCCCTGAAATACACCTTAAAAATCTATTTCACTTCACAAAGGATTCATTAGCTTTATCAGGAGCTTTATTATGATAGAAAGTTAGGAAGTAAGCAAAACACTAGCCTTAACCTTAAATTAATCCATTCACTACACTTCCTAGTGCTCCTTTCTTGGGTGGAACAGAACAAAAGAACACAACATGCAGCAGCAGCAGCTGCCACAGCAGGTAGGCAGATGTATGAATATAGCCAAGCAGCCCATCTGCCGAACTAAAGCCCTGAAAACGCTCTAGTTACCAACAGCATGTCCTTAACCTTATTCCCTTGAGCTGTGTAATCAGATGAGCAAGCAGAAGCACCAAGTCCTACAACGGACTAAAGTTAGTTATACGGACAACAGATTTTTCAAATGCACACAGAGATGACCCTCTAAAACATACCAAACTCCAAGATGTAGTATTTAGAAGGAAAAAACAGAAATTTTAATATTTTTTTTTAATTTATACATACAATTTATCTTCATTTAATGAAGCTGCAGACTGAAAGACATGATGCTTCTTCCCATTTAAGCAAAACTATATGCTCAATTTGTGTAAGAAAATTAAATTCAAAAGCTGCATTCTATGATGGGGTGGATTTCTCAATCCAGTCCCTAACTTCCCTCATGATAACAGGGAACACTATCACTGGAGCTCGTTATTCATCTTCAGGCAACCATGCTACTAACTGCAACTACAGCACTCGAGAACACTGCACTGAAGTTTTGTTCTCTCCAGAACTACAGTCTTGAAAACTCACTCAAGAGAATTAGTAACGGCAAAAGAATTTAAATAATAAAATGCTAATCTAACCAGGTACACACCTGGACTTGGGGAAAAAAAAATGAAAAAGCAACACACAGTAAGAGAGCAGATTCATAGAAGTTCCCGTTTAGGTCTTTCACAGGGAAGGCTGCCATGTTCAGAAATGCGTCCCCTGCCCTCTCCCCACAACAACTCAAAAGATTTTGTTTAGATCTGCTTATTATGAACAAAAGTCTAGGCTACTCTAATGCCATCTTTACTTCTTAAGGTCAGAATTTTAAATGCTATGTCTTACAGCTCAAAATAAAGTTTAAGAACATCCACGTACCAAACAAAACCAACTATTTTTCAATCTTTGTTGTAACCGAGTAGCAACTGTACTTGCAGATACCAACTTGCCCTTAATCAGTGATCAAAGAAAAGATTTACAAGTTTATACTTTCACGTCTTGCATTTTGTTGCAAAGGAGGGATGCTTTCAGTCACTTTGGATGCAAAATGCCAGGCCAGACTATTTTAAGTGAAGGCAATTTGTCCCAGACAAGTTTTTAGAGAGAAAATATCAGCACATTTATTACACTTCTTGTAACCATTGTCAAGAGGACCTTCTACAGCATGAAGCAGAGGGCAAGAGGAAAAGCACAAGCATTTATCACTCCTCTTAAAATAGCATTTGAATGTCACCTTTAAAACCACACTCTTAAATCTCTTTAGTGCGCAGCTGGGATATTAACACTTATATTTCTAAATCACTTGGGGGTAAATTCCTATAAGCCATCTTCATATCTCTAATATCTATTTCTTTTGATTTCCTTTTCTTTATTAAGCAGAAGCCCACTGTAATATTTACCACCTCAAGCAGTTTATTGAAGAACAAGGAAGTTCCAACAACAAAGCAAGAAGGAGCCCCCTTCACCAAAACGAGCTGCTCCAGAGCAGACCACTCTGCCGTGGTCCAGATCCCTGCAGTGATTTAAGATTGCTCAAGGACTCCTGAGCCTGCTGATGCACACTGCCATCAGGAGCTGGCAAAGCTGGACATCAGTGCATGCTGAGTCCCCACCTCAGGGAACAGCCTCTTTGCTTGGAAATGCTAGAACACCGAGTGCAGAGACACTGTTACCTCCCAACCACTGACCCAACCTGGGCAACATCAAACTCGAGCCAAGCAGAGGATCTCACCCATCAGCTAACATATTTACAGCCACAGAATGATGAACAACTAAGAATTTTCACTCATTACATAAATCTTGCCTTCTAAAAATACCATTTTTGAAGACAAGCGTGCTCGACTCTCCTGAAGCACTAAGGAAACTGCAACAAAAATAACTGAAATCTACGTAAAAGAATTCTCTTTGCTATCTGTTACAATCAAGCTAACAGAGCATCTCCAGAAACAAGGTTACAAGCATCAAGCATGCATTTGAATCATACTGCTTCGTTTACTGTTTTTCAGCTGACAGGCTTCCAATGAAAGTCAGGCCAGAGTCAGTCACCGATAACAGTCAACATCGACTCTTGCCAAACCTTCTTCTGCTTCCCCAAATAAAAGTCACACCTCTGCTGCGATACATGGCTAACAGCACATGTTGAAGAATGAAAGACAGTAGCAACTAAAGCCTGATCAAAATAAATTAACCAATGATTTGATAAGAAAACAGTCAATACTGGAATTGCCTAACAAGCTCTCAACCTTCTATGCCAAGAGGATAGATGTTTTTTAGATAGTTATGCAAGTAACGAGAGTCACAGCCTTATTTTAAATTGCAGTAACTTCTTTGCTTCTTTCACTACACGCAATGCATTTTCTCTGCTTAAATCCTCAAGGCTTGTCCCAAAAAAACCCAACAAAAACAAGAAAAAGCCCCCACACCAAAGGTAGGGCCAAGCAGTAATTCTAGCTAAAATATTTGGTAAGTGCCACTGTTCACTTCCCCATGAAAGCAGCCATACTAACAGCAACACTGATCACGACAAACAGCTTCAAGTCTTTTTTTCCGATAAAATAGTTTAAAAACACAAGTTTGTGCACCATCACCTTCCCCATTACCCCTAAGTTAAAACCAACAGACATTCGTGACGCAGTGACTAGAGTCCAGGTACAGAGTATCTGAACCCTTAGAAAGGCAGATTGCTGAATACAAGTGTGAATGTATGAAGAGGCAGTGAACTTATTTTTCTTTTTTAGAAAAATAATCTCAAACAAACTATCCATAGTCTACTATAAAATTCTATAGCTTTTCTGTTCCTGAACACGAAAGCCTGCACCAAGACTGAACTGAAGAGTCAATGCATTTATTTCCTTAAGACCACCTGGACAACCTGTTTCTGTTCAAAGCAACGGTACGAACTCAACTACCGGGACACAGCCAATTGCTTAACAACCCTGCTGTCTCAACAGACAAAGCTTACTTTTACTCCAGTCTGCAACATTCCAGTCCTAAACAGCTAGATCTCAAATTTAAGCAGTAGTTAACCATTGCTCAACTTGTATTTCAGAGCTACATGGACTCAGCAGCCTTGGGCAGCTTCTCACTTTTATGAGTGGAACTGAACGGGCTGCTGCGTACGTATAACCCGATCTAGGGCTGCCAACACTAAAACCTGAACTTCGTCAGTCTTGCTCCCAAAGCCGCAGACCCAGGCAGACAAGAACAGGAAGCAGCAAGGGCAGCACAGAGATGCACGTGCCCTCCACAATGCCATCCTCACATCCTGCCCTTCAAGAAGAACTTTTTGTAAATCAACAGGTTCCTCAATTCAACTATCGATCCCTCCAAGCAGGAAATCTAGCAGCACTTCTTGATGGCCACACGGCAAATAAACTGAATAAACAGAACATGAGAAGGCAGCTAATACTGACTGCTTCAAGCTTTGAAGTGAGGTGTGTCATGCAGAGTTGGTATTTTTACAGCTATCAGCTGGTACCTCAGACAAAACTCTTAAGTACTCGACAGGCACACATGAAACAGTTACTCCTATAATGGAACTAGGCACCTACAACGCAGTACAGCAAACACTGAAAATACCATGCTATTTTGAAGAACTAGGCTAAAAAGACCTCTCATGCTAAAAAACAAAGCCATGCCAAAGGTCATGTTCAGACTGGAGCCTCAAAATGTAGGATTAAACATTAGGCTACTAAATCTCCATTTAAACATTGCGTATTTAAACTGCTTCTCAAAACTGCTAAGCTCCTGCTAGCTGTTAGGGGTAGTAAATTTAAGCATTTGCCACGTGAAACTAGATGACAAATGACAGCAATTAAAGTCACGTTCTTATTTTATGAACAAAGTTGGAGGAAAACACTCACCAAAAACTTCATAAACACACATAAGGCCCTGACGACATAGAAGTCATGCCAAGATATTCAGACTGGGGAAGGTGGCTGATGAGACTTCTGCCTTTCAGCTCGTTTACCTGCCGAGGGAGCAGCGCTGCTGATGCCAGGACAGTTATGCAAGTGCCTGACCACGTCCGTGGGAAGCACGCCTAGTCCCCTGCGTGTTTAATGCTTAGTTCTCATCGCTGTCACAGACAGCTCGTCATGCATGGTATGTTCCTCCCGCGTACAGATTAGCCAAAATAGAAGAGCAGATCTGTAAGTAATTGCAGCGTGATTTCTGACTGCAACTTCCAAAGAAACTTGGTTATCTGAATGCCTAAAGACATTTTTTTCTCCCTTCATATAGAATGGTTTCCTAGTATACACTTCACACAGTACAGCTGTGTTAAAAATCAAGTCTGTATAGTTCTTATCAGATCAAAGGATGGCAGGAATCTCGTCACCCCAGCCCTGGGAAAGGGAGATGGGACTTGCAAGGATGAAAAGAATGACCCCTACGCACTCCAGGAATATTCTGCCTGCAGCAGGAAGAGTCAGCAAATACAGTACAAGCACTTCTGAAAAGTTTCATTTCACATCTGTCTTAGTAAAATTCAGCTAGCTCTTTACAGAAAAACATCACTAAAGAAATTTGCAGTGGCAAATTTAAGGCTGTC